TCCTTTAATTATCATTGGATTTGTTCAATCTTAAGGTCAGAAATAAACAAAGGTGTTCAGGAGAAGAAAAATGTACTTGTATTTAAAGCACATGGTGGAAGTGTCACCTTGTCTGTAGCAGCTACTATAGCCCTTAAACCGAAGATCGGTTGTTCTGCATCATCCATTCCACCTCCACAACCAACATCGAATTTACTTTTAGTCTCATTCTAGTTCTTCTTATGCTCTCTGTTTTAGCCATAGTGTTAGAACACTTTTGAGAGAAAAAGACACAGAGAGAGATGAGATCGACTGGTAGCAGTACCTTTTCTTTCCCATAGTTTTCTTCCATAAGAAACAGCCAAAAACGACAACAATTAAACCAATGATTGTTGAGACTATTGCAATCAAAATGGACGGCTTAATTACACCTGCAAAGAAAAGAAAAAGATTTTGTTGACAACATCAAGATAATGGCGCCAAAATAATGATCACTAATTGCGACACGAATAAGCATTCTATTATTACGTTTTTCCTTGATGTCAGAAGCTGCAGCTCTGATGTATAAAGTTCTTCCATCACCGTCGTTTGCTTCAACTTCATGCAGATTCAAGACATCTCCATGCCAGATTGAACATCTATTGTTGCTGTCATAGGCATAAGCAGTGCACTGGCATTCATTCAAGCAGGCTAACCTACAACTTTCGATACTAAGAGCACCTTCATATTGTCTATTATCAGGCAATCACTCGCTATTTACTTTTAGAAACCCGTCTCCCGTAGCATTCCCACACTTCACACTGGTTCTTCTTGAACATCCACCAGAATAAATCTGCAAGTTCCAATCACTTTGCCGGTTTGGCACAAAGCCCTTCAAACATTTGCAGTAGTTCAAGGATTTGGGTTTGCAACTGGAGAAAGCCCCACAAGAAGCATAAACAACACAATGTCTTGATTGAGACCAAAACAATTTCCACTGCTTGGAATTCTCCATCCCTAGTAGCTGAATCTGTCCTGAGGCAGACATCGAACATCGAGATACAATTTTAGGATTGATAGGAGAATATGTGAAATAACTTCCGTTCTCATTCATAACATAACCATAATTGAAGATAGAAGCTATCCTCAAGTCAGGAACCAGGTTGAAAATGTGAACTTTCATCCCATGATCCGCTGGTCCAATACTGTTTAGACCTATTCCACAGTAAGATATATGAATTGCTTTCATCCGGGGCTAGCTTAAAAGAATAAAGACCTGGCGCAGGATCCTCCAAACTCTTCCATGAAGTGAGAATTTGGGTATGATTTGTAATTTTGTTGAATCCAAATCTACCTCCTGGTAGCCAAGTATGGGTTGGATGATCAAAGCTTTGCCATATAGGCTCGGATGAATTATTACCAGAGCCCGCTTTCAAGACTAGGTTTCTGCTATCCAAAAGAACTGCCTGTACAGAACCAGAATTGGTGGTGGAGTTTATATTTGTTGACCAAACCGGGGTTTTGGACTCGTTCAAGAGAACTAAATTACCATCTAAAATGCTCAAGACCGAAGAAAATCTATCAGATACTGGTATTTCCCTATTTGCTACCCAAACAACGGTCATCTCAGATATCACTTGCTTGGAGTACCACCATATGCTTATATAGTAGTTTCAAAGCTGACCTGGCTTGAAAAAACCTAGCTCAAACATCCCACCTGCAGAGACAATGGTTTGATCGCCGAAGAGAGAGTGGTTTTCGCTGATGGTTTCTGCTGCAAAGGAAACATGAGACTTCAGAAATGCACATAATAAAATAATGGAGAACTCGATTGGTTTGGTATCCATGGCTGCACAAAGAATTCAGCAGGCAGACAAAGATTTACTGTGTGCATGTTACTAGAACTTAACCTATATGCCATTTTGATGGTAAGTCAACCAAGTCAAGTATTCAACCCTTCACACACGGTTCATTAGCTGGCATATGAACAGAGTCTTTGTAGAAAGTACAATGTATGGAAAGGGTATGAACATTGATCATGTGTTATTTCAAGTTAGATTAGGAAATGTTCGAGTTAGATTGCTTCAATTGCAAGCTAATGTACACATGCCTGCAACAAATTATGGTTTGACACGCCCTGATCCTGATATTCCTCGAATACCATGATAGGCACGTGCTGGCCGACACCGAGGGTGACGAAAGCCATTTATTGAGTGCAAATGCTGAAAACAAAGGATATATAAGACTTATAAATATAAAAGAATAATGAATATGCATTTAAGGAACGTGTTCAGAGCATACAATTAACTAGAACACTAAAAGAAAGAATATAAAATTGAATGAAACAAAGGAGTGGGTTCTACACCGAGAGGACTCGAAGATGTCAATGCGGAAGTGCCTGGACGCGGGGATTGTACGTCTCGATTCTAAGTCCTCAAGGGGGCACAAAACAAATATGAGTGGACCAAGTTAATATATATATATATATATAATAAAACAGGTATTAACGTACTAACCCCCAGGTTTTATGAAAACACATATATGTCATAATAAACATAGGTTTTCCGAAACCTAGCATGCTATGCAATGTCTCAAATCATAACTTGTACATATAATAATCACTAGTGAATGTCTAATAACCCCCATGCCCCATGCCGGCTCCCCGTCTCTGAGCAGACAGTCAGAGGAAAATACACTTCAAGCCCCATGTCGGCCCCCCCTATGCTAATAGCCAGAGGAAACACACTCCAGACCCTATGCCAACACCAAACTGTTGCTCTGGACGGACCGGAATCTATCCCTACGTCCTGTAGTGGAAAAGACCACTAGGTAAGTACAAAACCAGTGAACATACCTATATTGAAAAGCAACTTCGTACTATAAAGTCATTCATCATCTATACTACAAAGAAGTGTTCTAAACATGTTATAAATATCATATCGTCATTCATCGGATAAGCATGTTATCTCGTAAAACATTTCATAAAACATAGTCATCAAATCATTCTTTTCATGTATGCATTTCTACTATCAAAACATTCATTTTTAGAAGGGGTTAACTCACAGTACTTAGCTGCCGAAGAGCCACGCAACTAGCGAAGACGTAAACACCACAATTAATTGCCCCTGAGCACATAAAGGGTACATTTAGTTAAATTCTACTCAAACAATTGAATTTGGGAATACAGACATCTGAAATGGGTTCAGGACGTCGAAATTAGCCTAGGAGGGTCCCGCATGAAAACCCAAAAAGTCAACAGTCAAAGTCAAGTCAACTATGACCGTTGACCGAGTCAACGATTAGATCGGGTCAGAGACAACTGATTCAGGTCAAGGGCTTTGGGTTGGACCGGGTGGGGCCTAAAGGGTTAGGGTCTGATGGTTTTTTGGGTTTAAATAAATGGGTTTAAGGGTAACGGGCTGAAGGCCTTAAAGGAAATGGCCCAAAGGCCTTTAATTTAAATAAGAATAAAAATAAAATAAAACTAAACTAAAAAGAAATGGGCTTGGGCTTAGTGTTCAGGCCCAAAGGTCTGGGTTTGGATTTCAGACTTGGGCTTGGATAATTGGGTTGGACCTTGGGTTAATGGGTCGGGTTGACCCATTTTCAGGCCAAGGTTTTGGCCGATTTTTAAGCAAACTTCAAACGCCCATAACTTCTTCGATACTTAACGAAATTAGGTGAAACAAAAAGGAAAGTTGTAGTACTCAGCAAGACAAAGAGATTGATACCTTGAACACTGGCCAACTCGCTGTGGTTTGACCGGAAATTACCTCGAAAGGGGCGGTGCTCGCCGGAAAACTGAGAAAGTATCCCTGAACTGGTTCTTCTTGGTTTTGACGTCCAAAGCAAGTACAAAGGGGTTAGTTTTCAACCACTGATGAGGGAAAGACGATCAAATGGGTTTAGAACTTACCATCGTGACTGGCATTCGAGAAAAGACTTCGAAGCTCATCCTCCATACTGGAGCTTAGTAACTCTTTTGCCTTCGTCGAGTTTCAATGATGCAGGAAGGGAGCTCAAGGATGGTGGTGTTGTTTGTTGGTGAGAAAAGCCTTCGGAGGGGACTGAGATGGAGAGAGCCGAGAGGGAGAGAGAGTTGTGAGAGGGAGAGGTGAGGGAGAGTGATTGGAACTGGGAGACAAACCCAAAAGCAATGGGCCCCCTTGGCACACAAACTAAGATCCAAAAACAATTTTTAAAGGAAAGTACCCCAAACATAGTGAAAATACAAAAATACCTTTTTTGTTCCGTAAATTCCGGGATGGGTTGTTACATGGTTCATGTGTTATTTCAATGGGGTTCAAGAGGGTTTGAGCTTAAATATTGTTAATTATCATAATCTTTTCCCATCAATGCAAGTTTTACTAACAAAAATTGATCACAAAAACAAAGATATGTTGAAAATTTTCTAATTCCCAGTACCACAAAGTTTACAAGAAGATTCATTTACAAGTACATGTCTGTTTTTGGTCTGAACTCCAATCAAAAGATTGTACAATCTGAACCATCAACACATGACTAATCGAGGGTAATGATTTCCGCACATCATTTTCTCCGTCAATCATCCTCTTGTTTTGATGCTTTTTCGTACCACTTGATTCTCCTGCAAACTAATTAATCACCACAAAATCAAAATCCTCCAAAAACAAAAAGATTAGCAGAGCTTTGCCTGCCTATTTTTTTAATTCCAGCTCGGCCTAAGAAGGCGCTGGGAACAACAGATAGGAAAGGGTCCATGTAGCAGCTAATTCGATTGAATTCGAAAAACAAAATCATATGAGAAAGAGAATCCACAGACGAAACGGCTGGGGAGAGAAAGGTTCCTTTTTAGAGTACTCTCAAGAACATAACCAGTGGAGACGAGATGGGTCCTGTAGGGTTTAGAAATTATTATCACTTTATAAATTACTTAAACCCAATTCAATTAATAAAAGAGTCCAGCTGTAGCAATTGAGCATAAAGATATCACCACCAACATAAATTCAGATGAAATTTAACATGAATCACAAAACTATAAATGAAACAAAATTAGTGTGATTAGATGTAGTGCTGTTGTTTAACTCCAGTCTCGACCAATAACACAAGATGAAGCTGATAGACAACACTCCAATTTATGAGTTATTTTAGACCTTGCACCTGATTGAAAAAGGTTAGGGTATAGTTGAAACTCAAAACCAACATTTCAACACACAAAAAACCAAGAAAAACATGAATCCTAGAACTATGATTACTATGCCTCAGCTACATCGTTTCTGTCAAGCGATCATAGTTTCCACGAGTAGGTTCTCCCTGCGCAAGCGATCGGACTTGCCTTCAGAAAATGACAGTTCTCCTTGACACCAGGGGTGTTAAAAGTGTTCACTTGTGCTCCTAAAGCTATGACCAAGTAGTCATATTCAAGGGAAAATTCCTTTTTTTCCCACCAAGTTTTGGTCAAAATTAGCCCACACGGAAACATTTTTATTTGCTGCATCAATCTTGACGCATTTTGCTCCCCAACATTAGATCTCTATATTTCTCTGCCATGACATAAAAGTTAAACACACACGACTTGTAAATCAAGTAAATAATGTTTAAGAAAGAAAAGAGCAGTCGATAATGCAAGTCTCGATTTGAGACCAATCTTCATTAATTTGTCTTATGATTAGGATCGACAATAGGAGGGCCAACGTTGGACTGCAATTCTGCATACGCCACGAGACCTACCACTTCTGCAATAATCCAAATGGAAATCAAAACAGAAAAAATATGATCGACAATGAGGTCAAGCGAGCGAAGTTTTCTTCATTTTTTTTAGAAATAATGCACTTGGTCTGCATTTGCTTGTCTATGACAATGTGTGTTATGAACTCAAAATAGGTCTCAATTGTGATTGTCTTAATCGGTGATTTAGAGAGTTAATTGCATCTTTTATGCTTTTGTTTTTATTATTAAGGATTGTCAAATATGCCAGCTGGCATTTTAAGGTGTGGAGTCTGTATAGAAGGAGCCCAGCTCCCAGGAAACAAATCCGAACAGAAATTACAAGGAAGAAATTAAATACAAAAAAATTTGGAGCTCTGCTCCTTCGTCTTCCTTCCCTCTTCCTCTCTATCCTCTGTGTTACGTGCAGGTTGATTAAGGGCAGATTTGGATCTTATCAATGTGGATCGAACAATTCAAACAAAACAAAAAGGTAAAAACACATGCTTTAGTAAACTACTGTAAATCTTCAACATGACCCTTTTAGTAGTAGATCTATGTCAAGTTACTTGGAATATGTAAAGTGATTGTAGGCCTACAAGCTAATCAAGCAAAAGGGTAACTTAAGAGGTGAGGATCTTTTCCATAGTGAAAGATCACATGAAAATAATTAACAACCCCAAAAGGCATGTTTGGTTGCTGAGAAAACAGAGAGAAAATTAAATAAATTCAGCATAGCTAAGACTCCAAAACAAACATTTGCAGTCTATTTTCTCAGTAACCAAACAAAGTCTAGTGTCTGGTGGCTGATAAACTGAGATTCAAAGAAAAGTTTAGGTTCAGAGTTAATGAGCTGACATTTTGCTTAAACTAGGAAAAATAATTATACTTAAAAAGAATGTGTACTACTCCATGTCGTTGTAGCCTGTTAGTACACTTCATCCTACAACTAACTTTTCCGACACTTGGTACTATATAGTATTGTCATTGTGTGATCCAATTATTTTGCGGTTTATCCTTGAGTCATCAATTTCATCCTTTACGTTTGAGATCAATCAATGTCGCGTCTTTCACGTTTGCTTATGTGTGGAACGACATAATTTTAGGGAAATGTTTTAATGCTAATAGCTAGAGTATTACGTAGTGTGATGAATTATCATGATGCTCTGTATAACATATGATGTTTATCAATTTGATTCCTACGGCACATGTACATGTAATTTTATCAAAATTCACAAACATTGACACACAATAATTAACCTGATATTTCCGTCCCACGCAATAATTTTTTGAAAAATCAAGGAATAAAGCTAGCAATGACCAATGAGCAATGAACAAGACCACCGACCACTCCCGCAAGCATGATCTATCCAATGCTTACCAAACCACATTATCTCTCTCTTTTGATTGAAACATGATTTACCTGCCAAACTAACAAGAGGTTCTCTTTTGCATTGTGTGCATAGTTTTAGTGGCGTCACTCACTCATTGAATGCTGCTTACGTTTTTAAAAAGCAAATCTCTATTCAATAAAAATCAACACACGACACGTTTAGTTGGATAAGATGAGACTCTCTCCAAAACAAGAAGCATAAGTACCCTGCCTCCATTTTGCATCAAAATGGCTAACATCACAATTGTAGGGACCCAAAATATACGGGTAACCAAACCAGGCAGAAAAAAGTAACAAGAAACAATGCTACCAACCTTACCGACAACATTCTTATTTAGCAATTTAAGCCATGAGACAAGAACTCGACTTTTAGAATTATAAAAATGAAATGTCGCTAAACTAAATTGTTATTAGCAGTTGGACCATTCATATCGTGAATCGATATGAATGTTTGATGACTGAAGAACAAAAGAAAAGAGAAAGAATATGAGTTTGCAAGTAGAACAAAGCCAGTCGAGAAAACTTGTAAGAGATTCAACAATCATATTTGGAAGCCAAACAGTTTTCTTTTTATTTCCCCTTTGGTTTTCACGTCTATGGTTTCATCTCACAAAAGAAAACAAGTACGAGAGAAACTCAAAAGAAGAAACTTGAAGCAAAAAAACTAAGCCCCAAAACTGACACATTTTATTTGTACGTCCTCCATATACATACCGTACTCATGTTGTCTCTCTCAAACACAAGTTTAATCTTGATATTTTTTTTTTTTTTCCTTTTTGTGTTGTCGGGCTCGTCCCAATAAAGAATCAGCACAATCATGGGTTTCAAGGTTGTGGAGAACAATAATGCTGAAACTGGCGGTAGAGCTTTATTCGAGATTAAACTGATGTCCTTACTGGTGCTAAATGTAACCAAACTGACTCTTATATTGGTGATGATCGGACTCAAATTGATGATTTAGAATGGTGCATTCGTTCGTGGATCCACTCTCTTACGTTAGTTTGTTTTGTAGTTGTAGCTTGTAATTGTAAGTGAAACTATCCAAGGTCCTTGAATTTTCTAGATCGAAGTGATATTCACTAACTGTTTGTTTAATTGATTTATTATTGACTTGATCTGCAGGGTGCATTCAGTTCTTCTATAGTTGGAGCAGACTGGTGCATGTGTTTCAGCTCAACAAAACTTGGAGCTTAACATGATTGGGCGCATCAACTGTTCTAATGATATTTTGCATTTCAATGTTAAAAGAGGCATCAAGTTTGAATCCTCGTCGATAAAAAACTGATCGGGCACATAGTTTACTTGTAGTTTTAGTTGCAAAACAGGGTTTAGGGCTTAGGGCTGACCTGACCTACTCTGTTTGCTTCCACTGATTTAGGGTTTAGGGCTGTATATTTATTTCTTTTGTGTCTATTATTAGAAAGAATGCATTGGACATGGAAATTCTTTGGATTTAAAAATGGTTTTTCTGTTCAAATTTTCTTTTTGTTTTTAATTTGTAGCCTCGGATTGTGTATGTGGGTGATTTTGATTTTTCTTTTGGGGGCTTTTGTTTGCAGTTTTGGAACCGCTCTCTCCTCATGCCCTATGATAGCATTGGTGACCTTACCTTTCAAAAAAAAAAAATTCTTTTCAGTAAATAGGATTTATGAAATGCCTAATTTGGGTCTGGGGTTGCTTTTTTCTCATGATAAAAATTGGTGTGTGCCATCCGGAACAGTTATTGGGCATTTTGATGAGGTTTGTTGCAGTAAAGGGGGCGGCTAGGAAAATGGTGTAATGGGTTTTCAGGAATAGCTCTGCGGCTTGGACGGATGAGACAACTATGGTGGTTTTGGTGCCTGTGGGAATGAATATTATAGGTCCATATTTTTGGGATAGGCGTCAGAGGCTGCGGTATGGGACGTTGCTTATTATATGAAAGTCACCAATGACTAGTAGGTTTGATTTTTTGCCAATTTCTTTACTGTTATTCCAGTTTTTTAATAATTTTTAAAAAGGCTTCGAATTGCTAATAGATTTACCCTCTTTTTTTTTTCTTTTTTTTTTAATTTTTAGAACTTTGGGTCGTTCGAGGAACAACTTGGTTGCTGGACATTTTAAGTTATATAATTTGCTATACTTTTGTTTTTGTTTCTTTAGTTAGATGTAATATCACCCAATTGAGTCAAAATTTTCTCTCATGTAGCGGGTTTTATTGTAGAAACTGAATCCACAATGTTTGAATAGGAGCTAAAGGTTGTTAGTTGAGATGTCAATAAACTTTTCTTATATCCAGTTTTAGGTTTTGAATTCTGCTCGAACAAAATGGAAGTCTATTTCATCTGCTTGATTCAATACAGTTTTGTGAAAAGAAATTGAATTCTACATGCTTATTAAATGGTTGCTTTCTTGCATTTAAAATTACTGTCATCTTAGGCATTAAAGCATTTATTTGGTATGAATTGCCTGTGATGGTGGATAAATCTTCATGCAGGTCTATCTAGGGGAGCAGTATGTAAACAATCCTACGTTGTATGATGTCATTTTCTTAGTCGAAGGTTTAAATCATTTATCTGTATTTAAGCTTTTTCTACGTATACTATATTAGATGACATTACAGAATATTCAATTAGCATGGGTGATTGTATTGCTATCATAAAGGACCTCTTTAAATTTTTGGTTGTGTATCGACTAATTGCAGATAGACGGTTCTATGCTCAAAGAATTTTCATGCTTGCTTTCTTCAGATGACTTCTGTGCAATGTTTGATGGTGGTATGATGTTCTAATTTTCTCTTTGCAGAAATTTCTTTTTGGTTTTTGGAGTATGTATGTGATTTTATGTTTGATTAGAGAAGAAAAATTAATAAAACACAAGAAGCAGTTAGAAACATGGCTACAAGTGATGAGCTGGAGTATTTTTTTCAAATAAGTATATTACATTTGTACGGTATGCATGCGTAAGAAAAATCCAAATCGTACTACATTATCTTAGGGCTGTGTGATTTGTGTTTGATAAACCAATGGATTCAGAGAATACGAGTCGTTGCGTCTAGTTTGGATATGTGTCTATGGTGGTACCCCCATTTCAA